TTTTTTTTTTCAAATTAAAGTACATTACATTAGCTTTAATTTAAGATATATATAAAAGTGTCAGACCTTCCGGAACATTTTCAAAAGTTAAGTTGAAAAAGTAAATTTTTTGTGAAAAAGTTGTCATTTTAAATCCCCCCCTGAGGGCAGAAAAAAGGTCAAATTTACAAAAAAATATATACCAAATGATAGGTAAAGATATCAAGCATCTATACAAAAAAATTATATTGATATGTTCATTTTTAAAAAAGTTACGGCAGTTTTTAGTAAAAAAAAATTGAAAAAATTTCAAAAATTAGCGATTTTTAAATTTGTAATTTTTTGGAAGGTTTCCTCCATTTACGGAGAACGAGGAAAATTTTTTCAATTTTGAAGGGTAATGTCTTCGACTAGATACGATTTGTGATCTTTTGACGTATCGTTGAAAGAAATCCGTTCGGTGAGAGCTGAGAAAAAGTGGTAACAGATACAAAAAAAAACGTGATGGTAAAATGAAAGTCTATTCAGCTTCGAATCATCTAAGCTATAATANAAAAAAAAAAAAAAAAAAAACACATCATAGTAAAACCAATACCTTCTCAGCTTCGCATCGAAGCTAAAAAAAAGGTAAAGATGAAGTGATATTTAGGGGTTGAACTATATTTATTTATCAAATAATAAAATATACCTGCCTCACTTATTCTTATTCTTGTTTATTACGTGAATTTTCAAGAAGTAAAGTATGCAAACAAATATTCGCACTTACCTTTATTTCCTTTCGGAATTGACTGAATTAATCTTGTGGTAATTTCTTCCTTCGGTGTCAACAATCGTTTATAGTGTCTTACATTTATTTCGATTAATTAGTCTCACTGTGTATATTAAAATTAGAAAAGGATTCTCTATAATGGGACCTAAGTCTATTATGATTTGTATTACATTACAATATTACCAATGTAATATATATTACATTAATTATACATTTACGTGTAAACATTTGACATAAAAATGTAAAATATTACATAAAATATTTGGAACTCTTTGTACTCAAAATTAAAGTCATATATAAATTACTTCTATACTTCTTTGAGGCTCAGGTAGACTACTAATGTATTGCTGGATTCAGGAGCACAGTTTTATAACTAAACATATTTAAATTTACAAAAAAATAATTCACTGACTTGTTATTATTAGAAGCGCTTAACTTCCTTAGCTTTTATTTTATTAATGAATAACACATTTAACAAACATTTTTTAATTTTATTTAAACATAAATATGTAATAATTATCATATTTTAGCTAAATATCCGTAATATTTAGATTCTTAGTTAAATGAATATTTAATATTTCGGGTAACATAATGTTTTCGTAAAAGTAAATAAGTTTTGATTCCATATAATCGTTCCAAAATTTGTCATCTCGAAGAATTTTANTCTTAGTTAAATGAATATTTAATATTTCGGGTAACATAATGTTTTCGTAAAAGTAAATAAGTTTTGATTCCATATAATCGTTCCAAAATTTGTCATCTCGAAGAATTTTACAATAAACTATACCTAAAAAAGTTAAATAATAGCATTTTATAGTAAAAATATTTTTGGATGAAATTATAAAGTAATTTTTGACCACAACAACTGTAGTCAAATCTAGTGTCAATGGGATAATTATTATCTGGGTGACAATAGTTATTAAAATAAGTAGTAACACAAATACAAATTCCAAATACAACATTTTATATTCCGAAGATTGTGAAATGCCGGACACACAGTGGTCTAATACTATAATTAGCTTATCTTAACCTAAATTTTCAAAAATAATTTTTGTAATTTATTATGTGATTTGTTTATAATGAATATTGAAATACAATATAGGATTTTAAAACAATAATTCGATGTTTTTCTCTATAGAGCAGCCTGAATAACAAAAAAAAGAGTATTTTATCGACCTATTTTTAGTGTAACCTTACGTACATTTTTTAACATAGCCAAAATACTATTATTTATTACTTTTTATTTTTAATATAAAAAAATATGTTATTTACACAATAAAAAAAATTATTTTAAAATTAAAAATATTTATCTAAAACTAAAAATATTAAACTCAAAAATTCTCAATAATAGTACTTAAATTGTTTTTAGTTTTCCTAAATATGGACTGTTGTAATAATTGATTAAGCATAAACCGTTAATTTTGTCATGGGTCTAATATTTACACGAGAAGAAAGAAGAAATAGATTCAAGAAATTACATTGTCGAATTATACTGTAGATTATAAAACAGTTACTGTAATCGCAGATCATAATTAAATGTGTAAAAGAAAAAAATTTGTCTCTAAAAAAAAAAAAATAGTAAAAAGTCTGTATTATAATACCAACAAATAAAATTTAATTAATATTCACACAGAAAAATATAATACCAACATGTATATAAAAATTGTAAAAATTGAACATACTAAATAAGATGATTTTGCAAAAAACATTGAATCTTACCACACACACTTAGCACTTAACATTTATTTATAACCATTTTTTTTTTATTCCTCTAGTTCAATCATTTCTTTGTATTAATCAATCGTGTATTACTATTACTACCATTGTTATTTATATTTTTGTTTGTTGTTACTATTAATCTTATGTAGACCAATAGCATGCCATATACAATAAAAATAAAAATTGTATATTAAATTTTATTTACACTTTTTATGAAAACAAAATAAAAATCTAAGAAAAAATTATATTTTGGAAAAATTAAAAAAAAATCTACATTGTATCTTATTATTTATTATTATTACCTTTTGGTGTCCAAATAATTAAATAACAATACTGCCTCTGTGTAATATGTAATTCTCCTTGTATTTGATAAAAAAATCGAGAACTACGTTTTAGTATGAGTTCTTTATTCTCATTGTAATGCACATATTTTAATACTTTATTTTTAATAGCTTTTTCGGGAGTCAAATATTGGGCATTAACTGGACATTTTACTTCAACAATGCCATCTTTCCCAATTAAACCATCTGGCTTCGCTATTAAATAGTTAATGTTTTCATCAATAAATTTACAACACATTTCAATCTTTACGTCCATTTTCTTCTCAAAAAGTTCTATTGCCTTGGGCTCATTAACTATACCATATTGCTCAACATACCTATATATATATATATATACCAACAAAAGCACAAAACAGGAAATTAGTGTCTTCTTAAAAACGTTTGAAACTAAAATATTAAGTAATTTTTTTTTTAATATTTTAGTATTTTTTAAGTACTTAAAAATATTATGAAGAAATTTTTGTATTTAATATTACTTATTATACTTTTTATTACTAACGGGATATTATCTTTAGTATCAGAGTCTTCATATTTTTTATTCCAAAATTTCGATGCTCTTTTCAAGTATGATTCTTTGTTTTTTGTTTGATTAAATGAACAAACACAGTAAAAACGAGAAGATGGTAGACGTTTTTTATGCATTTTCCCCCACAAATCTTTATTAAAGAAATGTATTTCATTTTTCTTAAATATTTCATCGTCATATTTATTTAATTTTAAACTTTGTA